TTCAGCAGGTTCTTCAACAAACGGATCATCCCGAGCTGTCGATATATCACTACTGCAAGCAACATCAGCAAGTATCTCGATTCCAGAGAAGTCATGACTATTGCAGTCGGGCTTTTCACTAAAAACTTCCGATCTTCTTCCATAAATCAGATTAGGGTTTAACCTAGCAACACGCAATGCTTGGTTGATCTGTGCACAACGTTCTAAGCCTTCACGTCGAGAAGAGGACTTATTCGAAGGTGATGGAGAGCGAACGATAAACCTCCGTTTTTTTATCGGGACATGCTCTACTTTTTCTGCAAAATGCTGGCCTAGAACCGCAACCCCAAGCTGCCATACATAGAAAACAAACGGCCATCAGGATCGAAGGACTCAAACAATATGCCAACAATGAAAGAGAGAAAAAACCCATAGAAGAGGAACAGGAAGCTGATAAGAACCTTCTCAGATTCTGAAACACCTTCCACCACTGAGCCTGCTGCCTCAACTCCCAAGGCTGCAACTCGGGAAACCGGTTTCTTATTACGTCTTGTTGAGCTCCTGCTCCCTTTAGCCACCATTTTCCAAGGAAGACTAGCATTGATGGTCCTCGTAAGCTCTACACCGTCAGTGCTCATCATGCTTCCTCCAAAGAATGCAATACCACCCAAGAAATATCAAATACAGCACGAGACTTGGATTTGTTGGCACTCCTAGCACACTTGACACCGAGGTTTAGGATGTCCGCATACTTCCTTTAAATGTCCTCCCCTGAAAACAATAAACTTGGGTAAGCAGACCAGCCAAAGAACCGAAACATAATGCAAGTTCACACATAAAGAGATAGTGCCTACTTTTTCTATAAGAAATATAGCATCTTCTGATCAGGATGATATTCTAAACATACTGACTGAATTCCATATTGCAGTAACCGGCCTCCGAAAATCCGATCAAGCGAAAAAGCAACAGACAAACATGGGTGCGTATGACCAAAGGTTTATAAAGCATTTTCTCGCACTAACAGCACAAAAAATCAGAATCGTCTCAATTTTGAGCCGTTAAAAATATACTCCAAGGACTGTCCGCACACTTGTCCATGTAACTCTGTTACTCCCAACTTCTTCCGGCATATGGAAAAGACAGCAAAACATGGGATACCACATAACATGAAGCACATCACACATCGTGGAATCGGCTTTCCTTAGAATATGGTTCAGGGTCGTGTGCACACGACCAATCAAATATCAGCCGCCTCTTTTGCTCTATCAAGCAAAAGGGTCAAACAAAGGGTAGGAAGATAGGCAAAGATCTTTGTCCAGTTTTTCAAAACCAAATCCAGAACACATGAAGACATAGTGATCTCAGAAGGAGTCACAACGATTAGGCTTTCAATGGTGTGATTGTGGGAAAGAACGATAGCAGCCCCAGGATTTATAATCAATGGTCTTAACAGGAGAAGATCTCCCCGAAATCTCAGGTCGATAGATGATCGTCGAACAAAACTCTAAAGGATCTGCCATGCCAAGGGAAGTTTCGCGCCGTATCGAAGCCGACATTGATGGAACCACACGTCCAAAAGCAAACCGTGTAGACATCAGAGAACAAGGATCTCCTCCGCTCGTAAGAATAATAACCATCATAGAAAGAGTCAGAAAACAAAGAACTAGGGTTTTCATATACCTGTTCCACAATCTCTTTTTTTCCTCACTCTAACAAAAAAATCGCCGCCGATTTGAGAGAGATCCAATCAACTCCTCCACGAGAATCCACACAACCCTCCCGTTCCACGGCCAAAAAAAGCAAAAAACGGATTCGATTCTCAGCCTCCGTCGTCTACTGTCGCCGATTTACAGGTCTCGGAGACAAAACCACAGGACAAGATCTACCAAACAGACCAATTGGAGTCAGAAACAGTGGCCGGAGATGGTCAGAGACCGAAGAGGAACACCGACCAAAGTGGCGGCGGAAGCTTCGTCGTCGTCTTCACACGGAGCAAAGATAGAACAAATTAACTTGGTTTCCTCTCTCTTCTTTGTCGTTCGGATGAACAACGCTGCCCCTATCACCACGTATTTATCATCCTTTTGGTACCGAGAATACCCTCGCTATCACCGACTAATGACCGGATCTGCCCTCCTCTCCCTCGGGTCCTGCAAATTGCCATATTCTCTGTTTTTGTGGGAATTTAACATTTTTTTGGAAAATGTGGAAATGGAAATATTTAATTTAATTTTCTGGGTCCTCGATCCGGCTGCCATAACTAATTAATTACCCTTCTGCCCCCCGAAATTATGGTCAAACAGAGATTGTTTTTTAGTTCACTTCCTTGATTATTCTCCGGATGACCCCTTATCTTTTTATTGTTTCATTTTCTCACCAACAAAGTTTTGTTTTGATCATCTACATCCCTTAATTAATGGTGCCGGTCTCGCTTATGGGAATTGCACTTAGGATACGGTGATATTGCGGAGAAGATCGTCGGCAAGATGATGCGTTCATTTTTTTTGTACCATCTTATTATTATTTTTCAAAAAATTTCGATGAAACATTGAGTTACATAAATAGTATGCATTTTAATGTTTAAGATTTAAATTATTATTTCGAATAATTTTTCTTTAGCTTTATTTCATGAAAAATTAACGGTAATTCATCTAAAGAGATTATAATGCATTTTATTGGCTTGTGGCCCTGAAAGGATTTGACATTTATCCAAATTTGTAAAAGCAATATGTTGTTAAAGAATGTTTGACCCAAAATTGCTGATATCATGGGTTTAAATATTTTAAACCAAAACCGCTAATTCTGCTATTAGCGAATAATTTCTTCAAATTGTTACCGACAAACTTGTTATGAACAGTATTTTTTTTTTTACATTTTGTTATGAAGAATATAAATAACCGTATACTATATTTATTCATATGATGTATACTCTTATAGCGGTATTGCTGTTGCCAAATATTGTATTTTAAACTCTGCCTAATCCATAGTATTTGACGTTTATACTCTTTTAAATTAGTTTGAAAACAAACTTCATTTTCATAAAAATCCAACTATATTTTCAAAAACTCATCTTTATTGACATAAATAATAATGAAGAATGATTTAATAATAAAGAAAAAACACAATTACGACAGATGATAATAATAGTAATAATAATAATAAAATAATAAGAATCAATAAAACAATTACTAAATCTAAGTGATTTATATATCATAACGATTAAGAGAGAAAAAAAGTAAATAATATTGGAGAAAAAGACGAAAATAAAGTATCAATAGAAAAATAAAACTAATAACAATTGGAATTTTTTAAAAAGTTATCTGCTTTGTTGAGTAATTATTTTTTATAAAATAATATAACAAATAAACTAAGAACACTGGACCCGACCTGACCAGACAGACACACACCCACAGCCTTAAGGACACAGAGAACAACAAAAGTAATCCGCTTTCTTCGCCCTCACGGTCCTGACCCTTGAGCACCCAAGAGACGGAGACCTCGTTCTTCATTCAGACAACTGAAAATACTTGCTTGATTCATACACGTAATTGTACACTGGCAATTCTTGGGGGAAAAAAATCTCTTTTTTTAATATGATTTATGAATCGAGAAAGGTGTTGTTAAAACATGGGAGGGGGGAGCAGACCTAGTAAGACTTGGCAAAGATCGCTACTTCTTCGGCGGAATTGCCAGTCATCAGACAGCTTTTTGTCCCGGGAGTCTGCTCGAATGGGAAACAACGAATCGTGGCCCCCGTTTCTTCTTTTACCCGAGCTTCATCTGCGTCGCTGTTCGGGTAAGTAGACAGAACATTGTTAGTAAGTATGCTTGGACAGAAACAAGTAACTGCCCTTCCGAGTAAAACTACCTTGCTGACCAAGGACCTCTTGCCCATTTCCCTTCCGAGATCGCTGCTTTTAGTTCATCGTAAGAGTTCACATCCACGATATTACTGCACAACAATTACGATACCTCGTGTTTAGGATTGTTCCCCACGATAAAAGCATCATGATGATGATGATGATGATGATGATGATACGGAAAAACGCACCTATCCCTGAATGACACCGCCTTTTCAAGAAGAGACGATTGGATCTCGTCCAACTTTTCCTTTACATAAGCCACTAGTGTTGATGGCTCCATGGAGATACCGAAAACTTTCCCCGCCTTCCCGGGCACATCTCTCCTCGAGACGACGACACAGTTACTGGATACATCCCGTGGACCAATTTCAATCCTAATAGGAACTCCCTACGAAACCCAGTTTCAAAAAGAACCGACATATCAGAGGATTAATACATTCAGAAAATGAAATGGGAATGGGCAAGTTAAGAGAAACTTAAGGTTGGTTATTCACATCAATGGATTGGATTCTCAAATTGGAAACTTTATTCATCCCAGAAGGTTTCGTTCATGTATGGTTTTCTAGGAATATAACTCATGACAAACCTTCATTTCCCAGAAGTTGAATTTCCACCCGGGGGTATGTTGTTCTCCGTCGTCAAGTTTAACTTTCACTCCAGCAGTTCGTAGAACTTCTTTCACAGATGATGCCGCATTCAAAACAGCTATTTTTTCATCGGCCTTTTTCCAAATCGGTACAATAATTACCTAGAAGCAAGAATATGGATACAAAGGAAAATTAACAAATCGACAAAATAAGCAAATAAAGCTTCACCTACAAGAGACTTGACTGTGTTAGGGGCATCTAATAAAACAATTGTTTAAACATAACGGGCAACAAAGTACCAAGTAACTAGTCATTTAAAACTTTTTTTTTGCTGTAGGAAACAACTCCAGTACCCGAAATCATGACTTGGCATAGTCGTAACGTACTGTAATAGAACCGAAGCAGAAAAAACCAGTATGGAAGACTCGGAACAAAGAGAAGATGAACCTGTATTGGTGCTAACTTTGGTGGAAGCATAAGACCGGTGTCATCTCCATGAGTCATGATAATGCCTCCTACAAAACGAGTACTGATGGCCCATGATGTCTGCCACACATGCTGCCTTTCTCCATTCTCGTCTGCAAACTGGTACGAGTCATAAATATCAATTGACTTTTCTCTTCATCATGGAATTTCAAAAATCAGAACAGAGAAATAGCTGATGAATCAATATAATAATAAGTGGTGTCCTTTGAACACATGAAAATGAGGAAGAATCTTATTCTCCAAACAAATTCAGATGTTGCATATTCATGAGAAATAGAGCCATGAGTACCTGAGTTCCAAACGCACGAGAAAAGTTCTGCCCCAGGTTGTGGCGGGTCCCAGCCTGCAAAGCCTTCCGATCTCCCATCATAGCCTCAATGGTATATGTTTTGTCAGCACCAGCAAATGTCTCCAGTTTTGATTTTCGACCTGCAATAACAGGTATTGCAGCTTGCTCGTAGGCAAATTTGGTATAGATTTCAATCATCTGTTGTGCCTGCAATACAATGTCATAACATTCATCATACAAAGAGCACGTAAGCACTCAGGGCGTGGACTTAGAAAATGGAATGTATACGCAACAAAGGAAAACAGATATGGAGCCTCTGCTAAATATTCAAGTGGGCTTGGACACTTTTTATTCAGACACAAGATTATCCCCTTTGTGTTATTAGTAGTAACTAACATTTAGGTAGAATTGTCACTTTAACTCATATTTAGTATCTATGAGTTATGATGGCGAAAGGATTAGGTTTGATACAGTAACTGTGTATATAAGCTACGGTATTGAGGTATCTCAGATTAGTATTTGGATTTGGATTGTTAGGGGGAAAGAAAGGACCCTTCATTTATCAATCCTTAAAGCATCTTCCTTTTGGTCTATCATACAGAAAATCCCTATTTGCTGCGACTTGATCTTAAAAGAAAATCACAAAAGAAACCATAAGTAGAAACAAACCAAACCTCCTTTTCTGCCTCCTCAGGAGTGGCGTGGGCAGTATGCCCCTCCTGCCATAGAAACTCAAGAGTTCTCACAAATGGTTTAGTCCGCATCTCCCATCTAGTGACATTCACCCACTATACCACAGGAAAAAAAAACGAAGAAGAAGATGAATAAGAGAAGCAAAGGAGGTGGCTGGATCTATTACTAAGAAAGGTGAGAGATGATAGGATATCTGCTCACACCTGATTGATCATGAGAGGAAGATCGCGATAACTGTGAATCCACTGAGTAAACATGTGATTCACGATTGTCTCGCTAGTAGGCCGAACCTGCCACAACCTCGACGATCGGAACAATCAAAGCCAAAACTTGGGTCATAACTTTTTTCACAAACTATAGCTTTTTCAGTAAAAACACAAGCACCCTGATCAAATGCCTACCACGAGCTTCTCTTCAAGTTCTTTCCCTCCTCCGATAGTGACAAGGGCTAGTTCAGGACTGAATCCCTCAACGTGCGAAGCTTCTTTCTCTATGAATGAGTATGGTATAAACTGCATAATACAACAAATCCTTTGACCAAGAGAATTGCAGAGAGGAAAACAAAGAAAATGAAAATGATAACTTACTTCTCATGTATAAAGTCGCGAAGGATACCTGTGGGAAGTACATGTTGTCATGCCCAGTCTCTTTGAATTTCGCGTTTAAGTATTCCTACAGACCAACCAACACAACCCATTGAAACGGAGTGAAGAACCACAGCAGTCGGAACGCTAAAAGAATCAAATCGGAATCACAGAGAAAAACCAAACCGACAAAATTTCATCCCAAACGAGAACCTGGATCGCTTCCCACATCGCGTAACCGTACGGACGAATGACCATGGTGCCACGAACGGGACCGTAATCGGCCAACTCTGCACTGGCGATGACATCCAAGTACCACGCATTGAAGTCCTGCGACCGAGGCGTGACAGATTTGTCAGACCTGAGACGCTCGACCTCGGGCTTGGTCTCCGGCGAAGCACTCGTGCTCGGCGTCGTCGCCGCGCTCTGAGCGGAGAATCCAGCGGCGAGTGGCCTCCGGAGATACAAGCTCCGCCGCAGAGCCGCTGGGGAGCGGGAAAACTGTCGACGGGAAAGAGGAGGGAGGTGAGAGACGGCAGTCTCAGGGATGGCACCATTGCAGAGGTTTTTTGCGCCTGAGGCCTGAAGGAGATGAGGTTTATTTTCACCGCAGACGACGACTTGCTGAAATTTTAAAAAAAAAAAACAGTATGGGCCTAAAGCCCATATTATGTAAGTTGAGCCCAAGTAATTCATACGGTCCAGTGTATACATAACGAGCTTTTAAATATGTGGCCCAAACAATACAAGAAACGACCATCGTCTCTATCCTCAATTAATTTGACTTTTTGTATGGGCAGTCATGATGACTCAGCCATCCATCCACGTGCATAGCACGTGTTATATGTCAATATGCAAAATTGATAACAAAGAAGGTAACACTTTCTTACCACAATTGTTTTTCGGTTATCCGGTATTTTAAAACGAGAGTCAAATTAATTTTAAGGTATAAAGTAAACTATATGATTAGAATATACGTGGAGTGGGATAGACGATTTGCTTCTACATCTAAGTTGACACTTATGTTGTTGTATAGAATTAAAGTATTTTTTTTCTTAATAAATAGCTGGTTTTAATTCGTATAAAAAGTTATGTGATTTTTGCTGTCGCATCTTAATTTTCGTGTAATGTGAATTGTTATTTACTGTAAAATAAATGTTTAAATTTGAAAATTTTCAGTTATACATAATTTATCAGAACAAAAACTATCTCATATTGGTGAGAGAATAGATCCGAATATGATAGAAGCTTATATCTTTGTGTTTTTTTAGGGAAAAATAAAACATGAGAATGATGGTTGTGTCTCTTTAACATTCACTAGATTCCGTTTTGTTCTGCAGTTCTTGGTATCACCTTACATTGGCTGTTCCCCTATCGCACGTGGACTTTCGTGTGTGTGTATACAGATTTTATACACACATCGTATATCTTGTCTTAAAAATGATAGCAAATGAGCGGAATTGTAATTTAAAGGTAGATTTCGTAAATTAAAAATTAAATTTCCCAACAAACTAGAACATGTTGTTTTTTGTTTTTTTATATATCTCGTTATCTATATTGGATCTTTTAATAGATTATTGTAAATAGTTCTGAACAAAACTATTCGAAAATTGGGTATATGTAGGAATGTTAAAATGAGTCTGACTTACGAACTGATTCATGAATTAATCCATATTTTTATGAACAAAACTCAAAAAATTTGAACCTACAAAAAACGGGCCGACCGAATCATTTTGTCAAAATCTGAATTCGTGACCAACTTGACGAGTTTGAAAAAAATATTTTTTGATTTTTTAATAATTTTATATTTAAATTTTGTTTATAACATGTATTCGACTTGTTTTGTTTAAATTTTTAATATTTTAGAATATTTTTTAGTATTTAAATTGTATTTTAAATTAGACATTTGGTTCATCGGTCAATTAGTTTGGTTTGTGATTTTAGATGAACCAAGTTGAATCAAATAATTTTTTGTATCAAAAAACAGACCGCCTCGAGTTAGATTCAAAAAATCTGAGATCGAGACATGGATCGAGTCGGACCAACTCATTTTACACCCTTAATATCTAAAGATACAAGATTTTGGAGACAAAGAAGATTATATGAAAAGGAACACCGGTTTGTCGTCGTACACCTTACCAGATGGGAAGATGAACCCGAAAATTAATTTTAGAAATTCGTTTTCATTTAACTTGTCATCTTGATAATATAATTTTTTAAATCGAATATCTTTGGATATTGGAATTGATTCATTATAAACAATTACAAACCTATATATTTATAAATGCGAGTAATTTGTAAGCAGGTTTTAGTAAGATATAAATTTTAAAACGTTTTATGATATGATCCATTATTTTTGGATCAAGGTATTTAATATTCACGTTTTATATATAGAATACAAATTGATTTGTATAATATCTTCTAAATAAATCACTTAATAGCGTAATAAATTGGTATAGGGTAGGATTTAGATGGTTCCACCCAAATAAATAATGAAGTTGGATTGACATACTTTCTATCCAAGTTGATATAGTGGGACAGGGAGATATTTTTAATGTCAATTATTTTGATATACTAAAAACAATATATATACTTTGTGTATGTATATATATAATTTATAATTATAAAAATCTAAAAATACTTCTAGAAGACTAGGAGCAAAAATAACCACGGTCTCATCTGGAAAATAAATCATAATAAAAATAGTCTACATCACAGTCTAAAATATTTTTTATTATAGTTATAAAATGATTTGTAAAATATATATGGTAAATTTAAATAAAACATAAAAATATAAACATTATATGTATTTTCTAATTATCTATATTTCTATTTATAAAGCAAAGTTAGTTATAATCAAGGTTGCATGTATTAAACCCACACCTAATATGTTTGTGGACTTTTTTAAAACATTATTATGTCCCACATACGGTTCTGATAATTACTTTTCTCTATATATGTAATTTAGTTAAATTTGTGTTTTAGGACATTTGCCTTATATTTCTAATGATACACATGAAAATATTTTTGGACTACGATGAAGAAATATATTAGGAGTTAATTTTTACGTTAAAATTTTAACAAATACGTAAAATCCTAAATTTGTTGACTCTCTGTGACATGTCAACAACAAAATATAAATAATTAATTGCATAAAATTTATATAATCTTGGTTGGTAAACATTCAAAATATATGCATAACATGTTAAAATATGTAATTTCTCGTGGATGGTTTGTATTTCGTTTAACGCGTTTGATGATTTATAAATTACATCATTATTTCATAAAACGAAATCTTTTTTTTTCAAGTATTGCGGCCGGGATCAGTGGGAGCGCTAATTATTAGGTCATATATATATATATATATATGTATGTATCACATAGAAGTTGTGATGGCCACGTCAGAAAATATTCGAGGACGAAATTTCTTCTGTGATTTACCTAATTCGGAAAAATTCTGTAATATCTCGTGAGATATAAGATTCCATTTATTAATAATAAAATTAAAATTCCTTTTTTTCACTTTGTTACAAAAGATTCCTATCCCTCCTTCGTCGGTCCACCGTTTATATTTTTCTAAGCAGAAGACGTTACAAAATTAATATCGAAAATTACAATAATTGAAATCTCAAAATTAATAGTGATAATAATAACAATAATACCATAGAAAAGGTGAAAGAGTGTGTGAAGTTAACGCAAAGCAGATGCGACAGC